ATGTGGACAAACGTACACTTACTGATACTACATGAGCTATAAGCAGTGACTCCTTTCAAACAGAGGCTCACCTGGTATCCGCCCGAGGTCTGGAGGTTTACAGAGGACGCCTGCTTAACTTTCTCTAAACCGAAAATATAGCTGGTGAATTGTTTAAAGAGCGACACAAAGTTGCTGTCAGTTGGCAGAGCGGGAGAGGGATATGACAGTCCATCAACTCCTGCAGATAAAAAGAAACTAGCTGAGATTGTCATTAAGGAAGCTATTATACATAATATTGTAAAGAACACACTGTTAAATTTGCCTTTTTTAACTTTACCAAACTTATGTGCAAATGGTTTCTTGAAGCGTTTACTCTAACACTCCATAAAAGCCCATTTGCTGACTTACGGTTTTGTGACTGGATGCAGAAGATGTCGTAGTTGGTCTCCTTCTGAACAGATGATTGCAGCTCTGAATAACCGTCTGCTGCTCTCCTTAAAGAATACAATGCCACATCATGGCTGCACATCTGCTTGCTGCCACTGCAAAGTGATGAAAGACAAAGAAGGAGCTTATTGCTATGGACATGCAGACAAATGCAGATGTTTTGCTGAATTGTTTGCTCTACTGGGAAACATTTTTATGGATTTCATCTTTTAGCAAGAGAAGACCAAGTGTTGCCATTTGTTTACTGTTGCTTTGATCAGGTCAGTGCAGTGTGCATGAACATTTCCACAGTCAGCTGTCCATCAGTAGGACAACAAGCATACAAACCGCTGAATGTTTTCACTCAGTAATAACATTTCTTAAAAGTCTTAAACTGTTAGGTTGATGGTCAGTTTGGGGGATTAATGGTTCTTCTATGAGTCACATTTATGAGTTTTTCTGTAGCTGAAGTTAACCCTCACTAACAAACAGTTGTTTTAATTGAGTGGTTTTTTAGTCCTATTAAAGGAAGTGCATTAGGCTATGGAAAGGAAGCAGGGCTAAAATTGGATGTGTTCGGACTATTTAATATTTGAGGGCACGTGTGCATGTGAACTGTTTTTTACAATTTGGCCAAAGCAGCCAACATTTTCCTCAGTGAACTCAGGTGGAGTGATGTTTTTCTAGCATGGACGACAGCAACACACACGATCAAAGCCACCACAAAGCCAATAATTGTCCTTTATTAAACCACTTGTTTAACAAGCTGAAACTTAAAGAAATGCTTACTTTGCTCCTGTTTGCACCAACCACTATTTTTTAATATAAAATACAGCAATACCACACACTGGCACATAAAAACATTCTAACAAAATCTATTTATTATACCGCACAGAGCCAAGAGGAGAAAAATCTATTCTTGTGAACTGACACTGCAGCCCATTAGTAGAAAAAGAGAAGATTTTCAGCTGGACTTCTACATACCTCACAGTGGGATAAGAGCAACTGGTGAACAGAGGCACATCCCCACTACACACTCTGTCACAACAGCAGTTGATGTCACACACATCCATCTGCTCATCGCAGGGACATAACCTGTCAGCTGACACACACACAAACACACACAGGTCAGATAGTTCATATTTTCTAGATGACGAACAGTCTTAATGCATTCAGTACATTACAAATGGTACAAATATAAAACGGCAGTTGTGTGTACAACTAGGTTTAATGTTCAAGCCATTAATAAACACACGAGGCAACATATTAGGAAAACTTTTAAGCATAATATAGTTCATTTTGTCCACACCCTATCTGATCAAATTTTAATTCATGCTAAACACATAAATAAAAATAAATAAAACTGATATCACAGGAGAGGATCGGGAATGAGCTTCAACTGGAGCTCTTACTCTGACTAACTGTGAACAACTGGGACTTGGCTTCTGACAAGTTCAATAATTATTTAGAAAATATGTACTAAATGCAGAGAGGTTAAAGGACACTGTAAAGGAGGGTAAAACATTTTGGGAAGAGGTAACATGTCAGAATATTATTTCAAAATCAATTGAACTACTTTGGAGTTCAGAATGGATCTTATTAAAAATAAAGAAACAGAAAAATCTCAGAATGTGTACGTTATGTAGAAGTAATGTCAGAGCAGTCGTATTATTCATGCACAGGTCTGTGTGTCAGCGCATGTGCACGCTCTCCTTAAACGAAGAGTCTGTATATACCTGGCATTATGAGCATCCCAGGTTTTTATCTATCCGAAAAACATAAAATACCACAAGGTCAGATCAAACGCCACGTTAAAATATCTTCATTTAACATTTTCCTTACTACCTCCGAGAGAACAGATATCCTAGCCACAGTTGTACAATGGGTATGGGTTTAATTTGAATGTGTCCACATCTCTGAAAGTAGCTGGCAAACTGAATTACCTAAAAGCTATTTTGGTGGACAAAGAAAAACAGTGAACATGTGCTAAAAACGGGGGGACTGGGGTAGAAACTGGGGTTAAATCACAGCGACAGGTTACCACTGGTGAGAGGAGTGGGTAGGTGCCCGGAGACTGGCAGGGGCACGGCCGGTAGGTTCGGCATCTCGGTGCTGTAGCTCGGAGCTGTGGTCGTGCTCTCGGACGCTGGAGGCTGTGTACGCGCATAACTCTCAGTAACATTATAAATAAGATTGTAGGCATCAAACGCCGTCGTATTAAAGTCGCTCTCTGTTGTGTTTACAGTAACGACAGTAAGCAAGAGAAATAAATAGAAGAACTCTGGATCACACTTGACTACAGTTGTGACCGCCATGGATATTTACTCGTTGCTATGGTTCTTCTTCTTCTGTTGCTGCTGCTTCTTCTTCTATGGCCCTTAATGGCGGGTGGCAAACCAATTGTAAGTAATTTACCGCCACCTAGTGGGTACTGTACGGGTTTCCGCCCGCATTACCGCCACCTTTCATCGGTGTACAGATCTGCCAAATGTTTGGTTGAATTGATGGTGGAATTATCAACGTTTGACAGCTGAGTCCGGTGAGAGGATGAACTGAAATCACTGTGCAAACACACATTTATAATTATTTATTTTATTTATAGTTAGCAACTGTTATGACTGCTACAACGTTAACCCATTTTTGTGAAGCTAAGTCAGTTCCAATGGTCAGTTCCCTTCTCATCATCCAACTGACACCAGTGTTTCCAAATAAATGTAGTTAATGGGTATTAACTAGGAAGTTGTGATTCACTACATCTATCTGACAGCAACAGTTCACTAACTAAATTAGGTCATCCTGGGACTAAAACCAGGATGCTGGTCTGAGTGTCATCATTGTCCAGACAGGACTCCAGTTCTTCTGCCAAAAGCCAGTACACCTTGCTGCTTCCCAAGGTTTGACTTGTAACTCCAGGCTAACAGGCCTGGCCAAAGAGCAATCCATGTTTGTCCAGGACTGCTTATTTTTGGTATTTGGGTATATTTAACCTGGTCCTCATATCTGAAGGCTGCTCCCCTGCCCCCCAATGTGCCACTTGGGAACCTGGTAGATGGGTGTGGTTTCTCCACCCTAAAATCGAAACTATAAAGTGTTTTCAGTTTCAAGTCGGATCCCCTGATCTCCTCTGATATGATGGTCCTATAACATTGCTCCAGACTCTGTGAGAGATGTATAATCAGAGTAATGAAGTAATCAATCATCAGACCTTCACAATGACCAACTTAAACCAAGCTGACAGGGTTTGAAATTTGTTGCAGTGCAGATTAAAGGAAAGGTTGCTGAAACTGTGAGTATTGCCTTAAGGGTGTTGAAAATGCCCTAAACCAAACTTGTAACAGGTCTAAAGGAAACTTTTTAATAGGAAAAAGAAGAAATAAAAATAACTTATTAGTCTGTTGTAATGACATCACCATTAAACCATCGAAGAGTTCAAATTATATTTTAGTGGTAGATTAAAAAATGTTTCAAAATTCAGTGACTGAAGTCCATTTCTTCAGTGCGTCTTTACTTTTGAGCCTCTTCTTCACCAAAACTTCTCCATCAAACCAGGAAATAAAGTTTGCTTGGTCAGATTACGAGCTTAAATCACCTTTCCATCCACAAGATGGCGACACAGAACAACAAAACACAAGTTTCAGTGTCCTGCACAGCGGGCATTTGGAAAGGACAGAAACAACAGAACGAAGGAATATGAGAGAAATAATATTATCATTAATTATTAATATCTTATGAATATTGTCATTATTTATAGAATGATAACACAATATTAGTACATGGGAATACTAATACTGTCTCCTCACCTAAACAGAAGAATTAGTATAGTCGGAGTGGAATTCAGCAGGTGGGGGAAGCTCGGTTGTGCTGACTCAGCACAAAAGAAACAAAATGACAACAAACAAAAATTTCTATTGAGAGCTGAAGTCGATTTTCTTTGCACACAGGCCAGCTGTGACCAGCAAGCCTGTGCTTACGCTCCTCTGAAGTTCACTGGTCTTCGTGGATTTGCACAGCTGAATTCAACAAGATGTAAGCAGATGTTTTATGGGATATCTTGGCTTTCCCACACTGGCACTAAAGTGCTCATATTGTATTTATACTAGCCAGTATCCAGTTGCCATAATGGTGGAATCTAATAAAAGAATCTCATCATCATCAGCTTGAATCCAAAGTTTAAATGAAGCTGTGCCACTCTAACCTAACTCTGACCATGAACACCACAACCACCCAGCACCAAGCCAACAGTGTTTTACTATAAATTTAAAGGAAAGCTA